CGAGACCTGGAGCGACAAGCGCGTGAAGGCCGAGGTGCGCGTCGAGAGGCGGGAGAAGCGGCAGATGACGAGTGACAAGGAGCGCGAGAGGGGATGACTGAGGACGAGAAGATCGAGGCCAGGGAGCTGCCGGACCTCATCAAGGAGGTTAGGAGGAAGAATGGCGCCAAGGAGGCCAAGGAGGAGGAGTTTGGGGGGTTTGACGATTAGATTCAATGATACCACCACGAGTCGTGAATTTCATGACTTTCGTTCACACCATGTTTCCCCCTTCGTTAGCTCGCTGACTACGTGACTATGCACTGCCACCAATACAGCTTTGGACAACCTCAGCATGCGCAGCCCAACGACGACCCAAAACATTTTGAATCACCAAAAAATGCCAAAACAGAAACCCAGCCCTTGCAAGCTTGTCATGTTCCGAACCAGGGAATCGAACCCTGAGCCTGACGGTGAGAGCGTCAAATGTTAGCCATTACACCAGTTCGGATCTTGTTGGTGCGGGGCGATTAGCGGGCGGGATCATGGTTCGCAGAGGCTCATCCCAAACACTTGGGTCAGGTTACGGGGGACAGAGTTATGCCATGCAACAAACATGTAGAATTCATTAAGAACAGTCGAATTCATTAAGAACAGTCGAGCGCACAAAGACTAAGCAACTAATTAAGATATCTGCACCAAGCAGATACAAAACCACCGTATCCTTGAATCACGGAATGGTAGCGAACGAGGGGTATCATCCGTCCTGCCTTTTCTCGGCAACGACGCAGGACATCTTTCGTCTCTGCGTGCGGCCCGAGCTACTGCAAACTTCCTGTCTGCAGAAAACTGAGCAAGAACAGTGCATTCGTCCTTGCGAGTCGTTCTTGCGATGAAAAAGCGTGGGTATATGAAATTCGACAAAAAGGGTTGACTGTGGGAAGTGCAAAGATTGTGTAGAGGGTTATCGTAGAATTCGTCAAGCAAGATCGCAGTGCCGAGGACAGATGCCCAGCAACGAGGGGAGGGCATCGAAATCAGGAATGGGACCACGCTATTTCAACGCGACGCAACCCTCGAGTCAGCATTCGATGAACACGTTTAAAGGTTCTCGATAACGCGGGAGTTCAGCGCTTGTTGAAAACCGGGGTTCCCACCTCCGAAGTCGCTGCCGGTGATATCATCTTGGTTGCTGGACTCGCCGTTGCCATCCGTGATGTTGCGCGTTGTTCAAAGAAGGCATGCCCTGCCTAGCACCAGGCAAGAAGATACCTTGCTGTTGGCAGACTTGGCCATTGCCTGCATAGCCTCGAGGTAGCGGATCTGCATGGCAGGTGCAGACGATAGAATGTCAGCAGCCTGTCGCATGAGCTTGGCAGCTTCGACCTAGCATCAGTGTTAGTCAAAGTTTCATAGAACCAAAGGGGGAACAGAACGCGCAACATACCTCGGCCTTGGCGGCAATGATCTTGCTTTCACCAATACGCTTGCTCTGGGCAGCCATGGACAGCGACTCTTGCAGTTCCTGGCTGAAAATAATGTCTTTGATGAGCATGCTTTCAACTTGCACACCCCAGCCAGCCGCGACGTCCTCGATGATCTCGCCAATAGACTGGGCGATTTCCTCGCGGCGCTCAATGACGTCTTGAAGAATGCGCGCGCCAATGACGTGTCGAAGCGTGGTTTGGGTGCGTTCGATGAGAGCCTGGCGAACATTTGAGATACCAAAGGCGGCCTTGTGGGGCGCAACAATGTGGTAATAAATAACAGATGTCAGGTGGAGAGTAACATTGTCCTTGGTCATGCAAGTCTGCTGGGGAACCTCTGCACTGAAGTTAGGCACACGAGCCGTCGTCGAAATTTGGACTGTCAGAACTTACCGGCAATCTGGATCTTGACATCGACCTGAATTAGGCGCTCACTGAGGGGGTTGATCTTGACAAGACCAGGATCAACAGCCTGGTAAAACTTGCCGAACTTGGTGACGAGGCCAACGTTGCCCTGGTTAACACTCTTGTAAGGGTTGGGGCAGATGATGCAGCATGGGATAGCGCCAATGGTACCAATGATAGCACCAGCGGTGTTGATCATGGTGCCGTACCAGCCCTTGGGGTTGGCATTCTCCTCCACGACGGTAGCATAGCTGCGTTGGAGGTCCTCTTTGGCAGGAGGCTTCACTGTCATCTTGTGGGTGGGCTGGAACCCGCCGTTGATGCCACCAGCATCGCTCGAGGTGGCACCATTAGTAGGCCTGGGCCTTTCATCATCGGCGCCGAGGTTGTTGTTGTTGAAGAAGTCCTGACCGGTGGGCTCAGCAACCGGGGCCTTGCCAGAGCTGGTGCCCTGCTCGTAGGCTGGAGCACTCATGTTGGTATTGGCGACAGAAGACGGATAGGATTGAGTTGTGAAGGCAGGTGAGTCAACCAGGTTTTGTTCAGACACTGTGATTGATGAAGGGCGATGGTGAATGGGATCGGACATTCGTTGGATGAGGCAAAGTCTCGTCTAAGTGGGAAGGGAGATACCGGGGTATTTGTACAGAGCGACAAGGCAGAAAGGAACTTGGGAATGTCTTGGGTGATGGGGGCTTGGGGGTTCGTTTCGAGGCGAATACTGGGGAAGGGTCGTGCGGAGCATTGGAGAGGAGATGAGATGGTCACTGATTGCCTGATCACAGTGGTGAAGGAGCGCGGCGAGGGCAGTGTTGACGTTGCCCAGCAGGCGCCCAGAGCTCTGGGCAGCTTTCTAGTGGGTACCTGCCAATGGGAGAGGCAAGTGCCGGCCAGTCACGACGCCTGCAGGAAGGGGAGCTTGCAGGGATAGGTCCTCGGCTGTGGCTCTTGGCTCACGATGGTTCATCGGCAATGTGGATGCCGAGCGGGGCCGGTAGGAAAACGCTATACCGAAAGAAGCCCTCCTCGTCGCAGCGTGACCAGCCCTGCCACTCCAGATTGCCCCAACAGTCCACCCTGGGCTCACTCGGATCAGCAGCGCCGGCCGGTAGGGTCGCGACGCGGACGGAATCAAAGGGTAACCTCTGGCGTTGCATCTACCTCCGCACCACCCGTCAGGTCATGTCATGACCTCACCTCAACCACAGGAGTGTATTGCCTGGGATCATCGGGGGGGGGCCTCATATTCATTGAGCGCATCTGCTCGGGCATGGCATTCCCTGAATCTCAAATGGCCCTGCTAGCTGTCGCTCACTCATGGGACTGCACACCCTGAGGCTGGCATGTGACATCGGTCTTGCTGTCAGCCTACCTTTGGCGCCCAAAGGCTAGCTGGCCAGGCGAGGCTGGAATACCGTATCGTCGTATTGCAAGACTTTCGTTAGACTTGGAGGGCAGCGCGTGTGGCCTCGATTTGTGGATGCTCGCTTGTATATATTTGCCTAGGTTGATTGATTGCATGGGTCTTTGCTCAGCCGCCCAACATTCCGCCGACCAGCCTCAGAGAAGACCACATGGCGCTCCTCTGGGACCACGCCACTCCATGTTCATAATGACAGCAGATGACAGGTTGGCCACGAGCTTGGAGGCAGAACGCGTATTACCTACCGCTCGAACTCGTGCGCTTCATGACTTCACTAGGCGTGCTCGGGGCAACAATCGGCCGTTGGCGCTGCCGTCCAGCCGTTGGAGAGAAAGACAATCGAAGGGTGCCCACCGATGCACCCCATCGGCTCCAATTATCGACCCCGGTTGCTTCGAGTCCGCAACCCCTACCGTAGACCGCCTGTGACCAATCTATGGCTGTGACGACCCGCCTCAAGCACCATGGTTCACCATGGTTAACCGCGTAGCATCTGCTCAGACTCCTGCGATTTTGAGGCCGCCCCCCCCCTCCCCCAATTAAATTTATAAGCTATATAAGGGAGGAGCCGGTGCGATGATGCAGTTGGTGGGAGGTTTACAATAGTAAGCCATCCGCTCGGTGGCGATACAAGCGAAGACGTGAGGGATCCATCAAACACTGCGGATCCTTCATTTCGCTCAGTGTTAGGCTGTCTGGCAGGCTACTCCCGTGCACATCCCTCTCCTGGGTCTGGAGTTGGGTTTGTTTTTCACATTGGCTCCGCTTCACCACTGTCTTATTTGACATCTCATCCGCTGGCGTGGTCAAATTCTTCCCTTCTCACCTCGCGTCGTTCTAGAGTGCCGACAACCAAGGACCTTGCGCCACCCAAGCCCAATGACGAGCACCAAGACATAATCTTCTCACCACAGGCAGCTGTTCTTGACCTACCATTGTAACTCTTGACGTGACAGTTATTGCGGCCGGCCCAGTATCGAGATGAACCTTGATCGAATTCTACCGGCTCCGGGCGACAAGTGGGGACTCGGCACCGGAAGAGGACCGGGGCCCACATGCTCCTGAGTGCCTACACAAGCTGATCGTTGACTTCTCGTTGCGACAAATTGATGGAAAGCAGAAACTCTGTGTTTCCCGTGATCAAGTACTGTTCAGATGTTGGGAAATCTAGCCCGCGGTACGCGGAATGTAGTCTGCGCTACCGATACGCGTATACGTAGAATCACCGGAATGGACTGATTGGAACCGACTCGACAGGTTGACGTTGCCAACCTATGCGGGTCTCCATGCCCTACGTCATGTTCTGGAGGCTTGCTTGCGCCACGAATCGTCTGACGAGATCTTCAGCCGGGCAAGGCGCTCAGCCCTTCAGGCTCAATGCTCAAGGGCTATATCAACGACCTCTTCCGGTCACGTAGTTTGTTTGCTAAACATCAAGGCTTCCAGCCAGACTCTCATATTGGTATTATTTCATTATCACGCGCCGCACGTTATTCGCACCGCCATGACCAAATGATGGCACCTTCCACGCTCTACGACAAATTATGCATTAACCAACAACTCGGTGGAGCCCGAGTCACCATTGACCGGCTGGACTCCTCGGGTCAGCTCGTGCCCATATGGGCTTTGCACAACAGTCCCGACGAAAAGTCACTTGCAATCCTGCATGCCGATCCCCGACTTCAGGATCCCAACGCCGCGCTTGGATCTGCCAAACTGCATTCTCTCTCCTCCAAAATCGATATTACTGTACGCGGCGAAACTCTGAAGATGAAGAGCAACACCATGGGAACGAAGCATAGCTTTACATATCACGGCAATGAGCTAAGCTGGGGCGTTGACAGCAGCACGTTGTCGTCAAGCACGCTGTACCTGAAAGACTCTTCGAAGAGAGTGTTGGCGATTTATCAGAGGCGGCCTGGAGGGATGTTCAAGCAGAGTCAACCCACTTTTGATATCTATGTGCCGCCGGCGACTATGGATATGGACATGCTAGTGGTGACAGGGTTGGCGGAAGCAAAGTACCGGTCAAAGGAGAAGAAAGATTCCATTGAGGCCATGGGGGAGATTCTCAGCGCCTGATTTTGACATTCGATTCGCAGGTACGTAACTAACTTGACTACAGCGTTCTTCCTTGGAATGCATCCAGTGATTCATGTATTTCATTGGGGTTGACAGCACATCGTAATGAAATTGATATCAGTGAACTTCCAAATTATGAGAAATCGTAAAGGCGCCACTGAAAAGTCCCTATTGAACACTCTTCTGTTTCGTGTCCGTTCCCCTCTAGTCGAGGATTGAGCTAAGGGATTCAACTCAAGTGATCAGTCAAGGACGTTTGGGTGCATGTATGCGACACCTTGATAAATGACCCTGCTCTTTCGCCTGATTGCGCCAGACAGTTGCGCGAACTTTGGTCTATAAAAATAAGGAAAATTCGAAGTTTTCAGAACTGCCCCTTCTGACTTATAGAGACCTTTTCTACAAGTAGAAAATCTAAACTTTTGACGGGTATGTCGAGCCTCAGCCAGGTATATCGTTATACACATAACAGGTCCGGCCGCCCGGTTGTGAGGTGATATGGTGGCACGCCACTAGCGCAGAATCTGGCAGGTGTGGGCTGTCGCCTTCTGCATTGACGACCGCCTCCACAATCTCTTCTATCCTCAGACCACGAGCGGCCGCAAATGGAAAATGACCGAAGCAAGCTCGCATTCGATTTATGTCAATTCTTTAGCAGTATGTGGAGTTGCCCGTCTTGAAACTGTGATCGCTAGGCCAGTTCTAAATCCCAACAGTGCGATCACTGCCGCGCCAAGAAACTCAGAGTTGGTGCTCGTCCCATGGCCACCATGAATCCAACCCCGCCCCGGCCGAGATGATCTCGATGTATGGAACTGACATGTGGCATAGTGTTCAAAAGAGATCCCCAGCTGCAAGGGCTGCTTGAGAAGCTCAGTGGCCTGTCATTACAGCGGCAGAGCCCATCGATCACCCCTCACTCGCGTGTAAGCTCCATCAATCTGTGTCTCTTATCCACCTCTGGATCGCTTGTCCTTCCTGATGCCAACAATTTCACAGGTACTTGACAGATGTTGAGAGTCGCTTAGAACGTGTTGAGAAGTTATTTGCTGAACTACTTCCCGATGTCGACATTAATAAAGCCCTTGGCGCAAGGGCGACGGGCACCCCAAAACGCACAGCATCAGATCACTTCGCCCCACGAGGCCCATCATCCCAAACACCGGGGCAGCAGGTCTCCAGTCCTATTTCAGAAGCTGTACCTGAGGAATCAGATGGGTTCGACTGGCAGGAAGACATTGCGGTCCTCGCCGACGGCATGGCTGCGCTGTCCGTCGAGCCCAGAGGCACGGGCTATCTAGGTACGTCGTGCCCGTACTTTTCTTGATGTTGAGCTAGATTTGACTTCTCATCAGGTTCAACCGCTGGTGTGTTCTTCCTCAGATCACTGCTCCTTCTTACTGGTCATTCCGCCGCGCTTGCCGATGACCAACCTAGACCACAGCGACTCCGACAGCACTTTTCCTCGCGCGATCCTTCAGCCCAGTTAGCTGCAGTGAATGTATCGCGCCAGGTCATAGTCAATTTGGTTGATACTTATTTCTCTGTGTACCACTGCGCATACCCCTTCATTCATGAACCAACTTTCAGAGCCCAGCTTCATGAGGTCATACCGCGGCCACAGCAAACCTCGTGGCAGATGCTGCTCCACACTGTGCTGGCCCTCGGGGCATGGTGCCTAGATGATGCTCAGGGGCAGCTCGAGGACCAACTTTACCATCGAGCTCTCGCATTCGGAGAAGACGAATCATTGTTTGAGAGCGCGAATTTGACGTTTGTGCAAGCTCTTGTGCTGCTGAGCAACCTCAGTCAGAAACGGAACAAACCCAACACTGGCTCCAATTTCCTCGGGTTAGCAACGCGCATGGCGCTCAGCTTGGGTTTACACAGAGAGCTACCAGACTGGCGCATCAATAAGCTGCAACGTGAGATGCGTCGGCGGGTTTGGTGGGGGCTCTACATATTTGACAGCGGCGCGTCGACTACCTTTGGCAGACCCATTCTCTTGCCCGACACTGAAACGATGGATGTCCGACCAGTTCTGAATATCCATGATGCGGTAGGAGTCTCCTCTCTGTGCTCTGTGCTCGTATTAACGCCATTAAAACAGTCTCTAACCAGCAGGACGACCGACCAGCCTGCCGAAGTTAACGAGCCAACGCTCTACTCTGGCCTGAAGATTCAGAGTGATCTTCATGTTCATTCCAATTTCATCTCAAATCGACTTCTTTCGTCGGTCGGTGTCTCTGCCGAGAGCGCGCTGTCAATGGATGCAACATTGAGTCGATGGGCGAAGACCTTGCCATCGTTTTTCGCTCTCAACTACGATGGCCAATGCACGGAGTCGACATTTCTCTTCACGAAGTCTCGTCTATGGTGGCGCTTCTGGAATATTAGAATAATTCTATTCCGACAAATATTGCTCCAACAAGCGGCTAGGAAGGGTGGGATTGGCGAGCCTCTGAATGCCGGCTCGGCCGAAGAACAGTGCAGAAGCATCGCACTCCAAGCAGCAACTGCCACGATCAGATCGATCGACTTTTACACCAGACACGGCGTTATCACCAGGCTCGCCACTTGGTACCTGATGTAAGTAACCCCTCCGAGATGGCGCTATCCTCAGGCGGCTGACAGGGAACAATCCAGCTTCTTCTTATTTCATGCGTCCCTGATCGTTGTTCTTGTCATCCATGGAGACCCCGAATCATCAAATTTGGCTGAATGGCAAGCTGATCTCGAGATTGTTCGTCATGTTTTCGGCAGTGTCTTTGCCCACAATCCTCTGGCAACTCGCTGCGCTAATATCATCAACGAGATCTTGCTCCCCGGTCAAGTCCCGACGTCTGAGGACTGGACGAACATTCAGCTGGGATCTTGGTCTATGGATCCAGTTCTATGGCCAGCTGAACCTACCGACGACTTCTATACCCTCTTCGGCTGGCCAGAGACAGGATCATTCCAGATATAACACTTTATAGGTTCGATTTCAATTCATTCTAATTAATAATTCGGACGTCAGGCTCGATCAAATTCTTGCGTATGTAGACACCATTGGGCACATCGTTTTCATCGGCCCGCAAGAGCGCAAGCTCCATTGTGTTCTCGATGCCAGCTTTAAGGTGTCGGGCTGCAAGTCGAAGACGTGCCACGTTCTCTGCTACATCGACAAACCACCTGACAAAACACACATTAGCGACCATCTGGGGTTGAATGGTGATAATGAGAAGCCCTTTACTTGTCATCGACAAGATCAGCGATCTGGTCCCACGGCGCCTTATTAAGAAGCGTGTAGTTGCCTTCGATTATCACCAATCTCGCTTCTGAGGACAGGGAAATGCTGTTTGGGACAGGGTCCATTTCTGCGTGATCAAAGCTCGGCGCCCGAAAGATCATCGCGTGCTCGCCGCACCCTGTTACCGGCATCTGCCTTAGCTTTTTGATAGTCTCCAGGAAGCCATTCGCATCGAAGGTGAATGGGCACCTCGGCGGCGAAAGGCCAGAGCTGGATCGTTGAAGGACGAAAGAACGTGTCGAG